TCATTATTTCTGCTGGGCCAGCTTACTGAACTGAACTTTACCACCGGTTCCCATCGCCCCTCCTCCCCCCCGCACGCACAGCCTAGACACTTGATGGCCAAATTGGCAATAAACAAAGTAAGTGTATATAGTTCTATTATTTTGCCTTGACCGCTGAATTTTAACTGCGCACTAATTTTGATCACAAACTTAGGTCTACCCATGAAGTGATATGTGAGGCCTTCCCGTGCTCAGGCGGTTAGGTACGGGCCTCCCACCGCGGGAGCCCGGTTTCGATTTCAGCTCGTCACGTGGAATTCTTGATGGGGAAGGTGGCACTAGGACAGGTTTTCTCACGGTACTTCTGTTCCCTTTACCACTTATCTTCGCACTAACTACTTCTGTGTCATCTGTGGTCATCCGGGACTAGTTCAGTGGGCCCAATAGTGGTCAGTGTAGCAAGAGGACACAACGTCGCCTCCGTTACGAGTTAATTAAGGCGGCTTCTAAGTTAGTCCACTGATACATGCTGAGGATATGGACTTTTAAGTCTCTAATTCGTCAAAATGATATTGAAAATTCAGTTCCAAGGTTTTATAAGACAATTTGCATCTCTATTAGAAAGGCCAACTGATTAATATTGCTTCCATGATTTATTTCAACCGTCTTCCAGTGCATACACTCATCTATCTCACTCCTCTCTCTCGCACTACATGTTTCGGCACAAAAGTGCCATCTTCAGGCATGCAGTGAACTAGTTTATCGTAAATCGAATAAGCACCTGAAAATGGCACTTTTGTGCCGAAACATGTAGTGCGAGAGAGAGGAGTGAGATAGATGAGTGTATGCACTGTAAGACGGTTGCAATAAGTCATGGACTTAAATCAGTGCAACAGGACGCTAAAATATAACATTATTAATATTGCTTCGTTAAGTAGACCTTTTCAGGGGGATCATGATAAATACATATATACATTATGTGCGTTAAATACAGAAATTGTTATTGTTCGAACAAGCAAATGCAAAGGTAGAGCTACCGTTGTAACAGGCCGTGAAGGCCCATAGGGCTGTGAGACGTCGAGACTTCCACATTTTCTCTAGACAATCGACTCACAGATGACGGTGAGGTTGTCAACCTTACGCGCCAGCCGCCCTTTACCCTCCAGGAAGATTCCTGGTACTCATTTCTGTTAGAAGCTGAGTCGACCCCAGGGCCATAGTGCGGCTGGAAGGATTAGGTAAATTGGAAAAAAAAAATCCACCTCATCGGGACTCGAAACCGCTACCTTCCTGCTTGTAGCCAAAACCAACTACGCTACCACGTGCCCCCACTGTTGGAACAAGTGGTAAGTATAATTATTAAATTTTTAAAGGGTCAACATGTTGATACTATAAAAACATAGATTAGTCTTCCTGTGAGTTGCTGTACTAAATAAATTGCCAGATAGAATTGTGCGCAGACGCTGAAGAGAAATAATTTCCACGCGGTCACGTGGAAGTGAATGCTCTGCGCGATCATACAGCAGGCGGTTAGTATTCACTGGCAGATCTTTAAGTATCACGTGATTGCCTGTCCTACACCCGCCGATGTTCGAGCGGGCCCCTCACTCCTGTTCCCCTTTTGCGCAGACCAGAATCCACCACAAAATAATCGTGCTGTAGGTGTACACAAGTTACTTCACATCTGACGCCAACTTTAGCTTAGTAACTTCCTTTTCATCATGTTTCCCCATTATCCATTCTCACTGCCTCTTACGTGTTCCAATGTTCCGATGTTTTCGCTTGTCTGGAAACGTCAAGTTCCATATTTTATTTGTCCATATACATAATACATAAGGTAAAAGTGAATTTATTTTTGTGGATGAAAATCAATAGATGCATGAAGGTAAACAGCCCCACCCTAATGCCAAATGGCTAGAAGTGTGAATGGGCCCAACGTGGCGGTCAGGCCACTTCCCAACGTAATGGTTGGTGCCACAGGATGTAGATAAGCTGGACACGATGGTGACCTTGGGGGCATGGCCGTGTTCTGTGTACTCATGTTCCAACTGCCCACGTCTACTGGTAACTCATTCATGGAGCTGAGCCCTTCTTGAGAAGCTGCCAGTTGTGCAGCTACTCGAGAACTTCCCAGCATTTTATGGAACCCGAAAGTTCATCACCGTGTTCACAAGAGCTCTCCACTGGTCCTTATCTAGAGACAGATCAATCCAATCCAAACCATCCCATCCTGTCTCTCTAAGATCCATTTTAATATTGTCCACCCACCTATGCCTTGGTCTTGCCAGTGGCCTCTTTCCTTCTGGCTTTCCCACCAATATCCTATATACAGTCCTCGTCTCCCCCATTCATGCTACGTGCCTTACCCACCTCATCCTCCTTGACTTGGTCATTCTAATTATACTTGGAGAAGAGTACAAGTTATGAAGCTCCTCATTATGCAATTTTCTCCAACCTCGTGTCAGTTCATCCCTGTTCGGTTCAAATATTCTCCTCAAAACCCTGTTCTCAAACACCCTCAGCCTATGTTCGTCCTTTAATGCCAAAGACAAAATTTCACACTCATACAGAACCACAGACAAATTATAGTTTTGTACTCGTATATACTAATTTTTATGTTTTTAGACGGCAGACGAGAAGACAAAAGGTTCTGGACTGAATGGTAGCAAGCATTGCCCGAGTTCAGTATCGTCTTAATTTCCTCCTGAATCAGGTTTTGAATTGTAATCCGGACTACACGGAGTCACATCACAGAAGATAGTACTCTTCACAATAGAAAGTGTCTTAAGGAATAAAAGTCTAGAGTTTGTACAAAACGTTTTTATTCATTTCATACACAAACGCATCACCCTGTATATGCAAGCTGGTAATATGAATTAGACTGAACAGGCAAGTGGCAGACCTGACAATGATCTGTTACGCAGAAGTTAAATTAAGTTGGTAAACCTGAACAAGATGAGCTGTATTGTTAGGCCATAATTAAATTAAATTCACTGAAGAATAATGAATCGAATTGGCAGACTTGAATAATATGAATGTGCATGGAATTCAACGAAATTAGTTAATCGCCGGGCAACGTTTGTTGCTCTGTGCTGGAAGTAAGCTTATAGTAGCGAAACAAAAACTCAGCTTCCAGAGCAGGACCACTGAGCTCTGTAAGCCCATATGACTAACGACTTCCGAAAGTTCAGTAAGGAACTAAGTAACTTTTAATGTTCAGTGCCATTACATCAGAATTGCGTGTGCCTTAGACCCCAAAGTAAGAGCCAATGCACAGATGAGTGAGTAACCGCCTCGCGCCCTCCCTTTCCTGTAACGTAGACAGAAATTTTAAATTTAAATGGGCACCAGAAAAAAAAGTGGGGGCCGAAGTTATACTTTTGTCGTCCATTTCATAACCAATCTATTGTTGTAGCGAGTGCGGGGGAGGAGATGGCTTTTCAGAACTAGGCAGAAGCTCCCAGACCAGCAGAAACGCCCCGAGGGGTGGGGGGGGAGTGGCCAACTCGTATTAAAAGCAAATTATTACAATGTCGGCTCATGGAAGTCTCCCTGCGTGTGTCGCTGTTGGGAACAGTAGTTATGACGTCGTAATTCGTGGATGGGCAAACTACAGCCCGCGGACTGCATCCGGCCCGCGCGGTTATTCTGAATATGTGCACATAATATTGTGACGCATATACACATTGCTAGGCAACGACTCAGTATACATGTTCCAGCGAACACGCAACAATAGAACTTGTGTTGTCTGTAGACCATGCTACAATTCGTTGCTAAGTAGCAATTCTGACAACAGAAGAGGTGCTTTCTACATGGTTCGCGCCATGCCCAGTGCTAGGCAACAGAGCTGTAAACACGAATCCCTGATGGAAGAGAAGTGTTTTCTACATCGTCCGTGCCGCGTCTATATAATGAGAGTCTGTTTGTGGCAAGAGCTCAGTCGAAAGAAATCTGGTCATGAGCCTCAAGGGGCTTGATGCCAAGACGAACTGATTGGCGGTAAACCGCCAGTTGTAAAGTGACTTTGACTCTGACTTTGACTTGCTAGGGAGATTACAGAATTAGAATTTCAGAACTGGGCAGAGTTTTTGAGAGTCGCAGTCCAGGGTGGTTGAACAAGAAATGGCAGGAAGACTTCATAATGGTTTGAAGTGATGGTTCCTGTGATAAAGCCGTTGCCAAGAAACGGAGAGCTCATCCTACTGATTTATGAAGTGGATGGATCAGCGGTAGCGCTCTAGTTGATTGCGATTAAGAGAGATTGTAAAATCCAGTCATTCAATCCAGAACACGCTAGCCACAGAACCCCGGACACGTGACAATATTATTTTTAATTTACATGAACATCCATGATGTGTATTTGTACCAACCGTCTTACAGTGCACACAATTTCAGCTTTCTCTTCACTTTAATCACTACATGTTTCGGCACTAATGTGCCATCTTCAGGTGTGGTTTCATTTACGTCAAACCATTGCACTGTATGCCATCATGTCTCCTTTATAAAATGATTAAAATGTATATATGTCATATATAATAATAAAATGTATATATTAAAACTTTTCAAGATTTATCATCTGTACGTCGCACTTCAAATTCGCGAGTTACGTCAGTCCTCTCCTATGGGAGTACTCTTCCTGTATTCTTGTGTATATTGTGTGCTGTGTTGTGTCCTTCCCTTGTGACTGCGTGCGTTGTAATGCTCTACATCATGGACGTGAATCAGTGCAACAGGACGCTAAAATATAACCTTACATGACCATTTCTTGAAATGTCTCAAGCAATGTCATGACATGTCTTTCCACGGGAACGTAACAAGTTCAGGCTATGCTCTGCGCTAGCAAACGTTTCTTCCGCCTGTTTAAAATTGTTGCCATGACCCCCTTGCGACAGAAACATCTGTCCCTTCGTGCGTAGAGATTGTTCACCCCTGTATTATTATTATTATTATTTTCTGTTGCTCCCTCTGGAGCATAGGGAATCCATGAAACACCTTTTCACTTCAGTTTCTTAATCTTACAGACAGACGTCAGGACTCCTTAGATAGGGGATCAGCCCATCTCAAGGCCGCTACCTACACCGGATAACACAAACACAACCTCGGGAGACCTCTACATGCCGGACCGGTGGCTGGAAGTCATTGTGAGCATATGGGAGGCCCTGCTACTGGCCATCTCGACACAGGATCTCGTGGTTTTCCTCTGGCTTCAAGCGAATGCTGAGAAGGTTCGCAAGTTCCGAGCTGCTAGTGCCCACTTCTGTTGCAGCCCTCACGATATGGACAAGAAAAATCGAAACTGCTCCTGTATAAAGGCCATTAAATTATCTCTCTGTATGACGTAACTGGGGGCTGCTCCCCGGCGCGGGAATCTCACCGTACCGACGCCCTCTCGACGTGGTGCTTAATAAAGCACACGGGCTTCACGAATTACGGACACGCATGCGTTGGCCTGCACGCCCCACCGTCTCCTTGTCCCTCGAGACTTTATACACTTGCCTTGTCTTGTTAGTTCGTTAATTAAATTGTGATTAATTGGGTTTGGTTGCGGGTTTGGGGAGCGTTCCTCTGAAGCAGCAGCAGAGACCGCGAGCAGACGTCGGGAAACGAACCGAGCAAGCCTTCATTCAGTTCTGTGTGGTTTTCCTCAGTCTCTCAAGGCAAATGCCGGGATAGTAGCCCGACCACTTCGTTTCAAATCATCACTCATCGTACTGTTCAATACTGTAATGTTCAGACAGTAACGGACTCAGCAAATAAACTTATATTGATTTGTTTCTGTGGACAAGTGAGCACAGTGCAGCGGGCCGCACAGAACAGAGACAGAAATCGGGGAGTGTAAGCTAAAGCTTTCGTCACTTTGTGCTGATTGCGCCACACTACTACTACTACTACCACCACCACTACTACTACTACTACTACTACTACTCTAGCTTCACGCCCCTCTCAGTTTAGCTTTAACCTCCCTCAGATTTACTGTCCATTTTTTTTTCTGTTTTGAGATTTCCGTCTGCAAATTTTTATGCCAGCCTCTACGTCATCTAACCACCGCAACTCGGGTCTACCAACTGGACGTTTGCCTTCCGGTTTAGTGCTGAGTACCGATATCTTGCAATGTAACGATGTGCCCCAGCCATTGCAGTCTTTTCTGATTTTGACTTCAGTCACCTTATGTGCGGTCGTGTCACACGGAGACTCTATGCGTGCCACAAATTTCTCGTTCCATTTGTTTCTACACAAGTTTCATAAAATTAACGCATAATGAGTAGGTCGTGATTATCGTCAGTCTGTTCGTCCGTCCGTCCTCAAGTTTCATCTTCAGAATTGCTCGCACACTCTCTGCACTCGAGTTATAAGAATTTAACACGGTAGCGTAGTTGGTTGAAGAACTATGCTACAAGCCAGAAGGTCCCGGGTTCCATTCCCGATGTGGTCATTGGATTTTTCAATTGACTTAATCCTTCCTGCCGCACTATGGCCCTGGGGTCGACTCAGCCTCTAACAGAAATGAGCACCATGAATCTTCCTGGGAGGTAAAGGGCGGCCGGCGCCTAAGGCTGACAACCTCACCGATATCTGTGAGCCGATTGTCTGGAAAATGTGGAAGTCTCGGCGTCTCAGAACCCTATGGGCCTCCACGGCCTGTTACAGGGATAGCTTCACCTTTGTAATAATGTGAATATTAAATTTAAGCCGTTGCGATAAGCTCTCTGTGAGAAAGTTCATGAAATATGATTGTTACCATAAGAGCGCTGGGTTTTGGGGTTTTTGTTTGCCGCCTTAGGCCACGCATAGAAGGGAAATAAATGATCAATATTAAACTATACTGAAGTTTGCTATTATGTTTATGATATTTGAAATGTGGAAGGCCAGTCCTGACTAATTCGTTCCTTGTTACACACTTATAAACACGGGCTATTCTAAATTTAATCTGGATTTTGTGTCTATGTGTTTTAGGAAATGAGTAAAGTAAACATGGCCGTCTCATTCTCTCAACATCTCGAACGGTTTCCGACGTTTTAGCAAGAGAGACCGCAAATAACAGTGTTCATGCCCCTGTAAACCCCTAACTGCAACGGCACAAACCCCTCGTTACCCTGGAGGTGTAATGCCAGCCGGTGTGTGTTAATGCAGAAGCTGTTCTAGTTGTTACACTGGAATATATACATGAAGTTCTGTTGTTTTAAAGAAAAAACTTATATATATATATATATGAAATAAGAGGAAACTAGTCATAAACTTCGAAATACAGAAGTCATAGCAGCAAAAATTACGATTGGTGTAAAATGATTTCTTCACAAGCTTAGCATAAGCGGAAACAGTTTGGTTGGTTTATGAATCTTTTTGATAAGACACGCTGTCTTTCGTCCGTCTTTCTTAATACTTTTTTTTTGTTTACCTTCCGCAAATTTATTCATAGAATTTTTTAAGCGCCATCTGTAGTCTGGTGAAAAAAGAAAAGTTCTGTGGAGAGAAATATTCACAATCCGTTACATGCATGCTGATGGAATTTTCGATAAAAGGGACTTTTATCTTGCATTTCATTGTCAGTTTAACCAGAGCAGAATTTGTCTGAAATTACAATGAAACTAACACGGAAATACCCTTCCACCCTGCATTTCCCTCGTGCTCAAGCCTTCTTTTTTTAGAAAAAACATAACTCCTAGTCGTTTGAGGAAGTGCCAATATTACTGCAGTGTAATATTTGCTTTACTTGCACACGCTGAAAGCTGAGAAAAGGAATAGAATCCCAGCTCGTGGCGACGGCCGCTATTGAAGAACGGAAAGGACTGGGTCTTCACTTTTGAGATGCCATTTTTAGTTTGAATCCGAAGTTGCGTTGCTTTTAATGTTGCTTACAATGTGAAAAATAAAAATTGATGGTAATTATGCATTTTCGCTGTTTTGCCTATGAGCAGCTCAGTCCAATCCGGTCCAATCTGTTTTATTCACTTTGAAACTCAGCATTCCATATAAATGTAGCTGGTGCTTCAATCTAACGTTCGTTTTATGAACTACTAGCAGGCACTGCTGGATCAGTTGTTCATTTTGTCAACCTAAAACGGGTCAATATCTCAGTACAAAACAAATCGTTAAGCACACAGGGGTTCCTAAGGTCCATAATAATAGGTTCGATCGAGAACAAGACAGGGAAGACAGTAAAGGCTTATTTTAGTACTGCGGTCGATACATCACGTGTGCTTTGGTCGACCGCCAAGATAACATGCTTAACAATGTGTTTAGGAGTAGGAACCACTAGATGAGCAGCCATGCATGTGTACTGTTACCCAAATCCTGAAATCGGAGGTTAATAAATGAGTAGGAATGCTAGGATACTTAGAGATTCGGCTTTGTTAGTTACCAGTTCAAAATGGAATCTAAAGTCATGTTTTTCTCAACCAAATATACCGTTTTTTCAGACCTCTGCCTTACATAATGTGTGCCTAGAATTACTTTTAACAGTAATGTTAATAACAGGGTAAGCCAACAAAGGATGTGAAAATCGAGTGATCCGTCACTCTGGCTCATGAATTAAGATCAGCCATCAAAAGAAAATTCATCTTAAAATGAATCAGTGTAATGGTACCTCATCAGTCGTTTGTACATTACATTTGAAGGAACTTCACAAAAATCCTTTTTAGATTTTGTTTTACAGAGTCATTAGAATTTTGCATCTGATGCTGCAAGGCTTTCCCTAATGTGTTAGAACAACATCAGTAACATCGTAGCTCTAATAGGGTTCCCAACAGCACCCTTATGTCAGAGGCTCCCACATTTTCTAGACAGTCGGCTCACAGTTTGCGGTGAGGCTGTCAGGCCTATGTGCCAGCTGGCTGCCCCTTACCCACAGGAAGATACCTGGTACTCATTTCTGTAAGAGGCTTAATCAACCCCAGGGCCATAGTGCGGCTGGAAGGATTAGGTCAAACAAAAAATCAGGAATCGAACCTGTGAGCTTCCAGTTTGTAGCTCTGTGCCTCAACGAGAGAGATTTAGCTGAGTCCAGCTCCCTCGAAGGATCTCTTTAAGTTATGATTTTACCATGTATTCTGATGAGACTCCAACATAACCTAATTTTCTTTGTGTTTAACTGTAGACAAAGCTCCTTATTAGTATCAGTTAAAGTTTCTGCTACCTCCCAATAGATCTACATCATCAGCATAGACCAGAGGCTGATGTGTCCTATTCAGATTGAGCCCCACCTGGCTACCTTCCTCATGGCACATTCTAAAGTAAAGTTGAAAAACAGTGACTAGTAAACATCTCCTTGTTCGAGATCATAGTGAATAGGAACTATATAAGACAAGTGTTTACCTATACTCACTTCATTATAGATTTAATTTAAATGCATTTTAATGAACCTAACTAGTTTCACAAGTGCCCCAAACTCAGTGACAATTTTGTACAATACTTCCCTCTCATTTGGATCACATATTGTCTCATTGTACTTCTGTCTTTTCCTGCAGTATCTGACGAATGCAAAAAAAAATTTGATCAATAGTTGATCTGCTATGTCAAAACCTACACTAATGATCCCCAGTATTTGCATCTACCTGTGGTCTTAACCTTGAGTGAAGGATGTTGGATACATACAGTTCTGTATGAAATTTTATCAACCTTCTTGTGTAATCCACTGCTAAGGAAATCTTTCCTTATATGAAAAATTATTTATTAGTTTGTGGATCTCAGACCATGATGTTTCACTTTCTGCTTGGATCAGTTCTGCTGGAAATAGATCAAAACCTGAGAATTTATACCTCTTCAACTTCACAATAGCAATTTCAGCCTCAAAAGGGCTAGGATCAGATACTAACGGCTCAGCTGTATGGATTTCTATCTTCCTAACATCACTGACCCTATGTATATTCAGTAACTGAGAGTAGTAGTTCCTACACCCATTCAAAATGTGGGAATCTGCAAGCAGATCACTATTCTCACCCTTTACCAAGTTTGTTCTTGGTTGGTAACCCTTCTCAAATTCATTCATTCCTTTGTATAGATCCCTCTTTTTGCTCCTGAAATGTCTGCTAGTATCGAATAGGATTTGAAGATTTCACAGTAGTAATTATGATGGATTTTTTAATTCTAGATTATAGTGCCGTGTAGTCTGTCAGCAAACTGCTTGCTACCAGCTTCACATTGGTTTCATTCATGGCTTACTCTTCAGCCCTGAAGATGGAGGTAGCATGATACTGTTATATCCCAGAAGACAGAACTCTTCAAGAAAGTGAGTTACAGAGCATCCATAATGGATAATTTAATTTTCTGTTTTAGTGAAATATACTGTAAAACCTTCCATATTCAGCCATAAAACCACTTTGCCTTTTGAAGTCATTTTTTTCATGTGTTGAACAAAGTTGTGCCATTACTCAGCAATGAAATGAACTGATGAAGGTTACAATCATCTGGGATATGACGCCATTTAGCCTGGTAGAAGTATACTGATGTTTCAGAAGAATATGTATAAACTTCTGTGAGAGTACATGGCATCTCATTGCAAAAAATAGCATACTTATAGTTGCCATTGTCATAACCGCAGATTTAACAATTTAACTAATTTTATTGTATCATATGGAATAGATTTAATGGTTTCTTATTGTGCATAATGTTATTATTTGACACCATTTTTTATTTTTATCAAGTGGGTCTGAGCTCATCAATGAGTAACTTTTTATTTGGTGGTAGATGATCTGTGTGTAGTAATTATTTTCTATGGTAAGTTATGTAATCTGTATTTTACTACTTTGTGTTTGTTATGCAAAATTTATGTACTAATTCAAGTAACATAATTATCCTTCCTTGCTTTTCTGAGTTTAAATAAATTTCATTGGAATGAGGTACGAGGAATGTAGAAAGAGACAAAGAAAAAGTTTGATGCATTGTTTTCTTTCACACCAGACCAATGTGACAGATGTGAAATACTCACAAGGGTACTCCCACACACAGGAGTAATTTTCAAACCATTTCCTGGAAATAGGGTAGAAGAAAACTTCACACCCTTTTTTCAAGCTATTAGCCATCAGGGAGTTAGTACTACAGTTTCTTTTTGTCTTATATTTTGTTTATTCAACTTATCCATATCCAACAGTTCCATGGACCATATTATTACAGGACATTTCTCTTTCAAATTAGTATTTGATTCTAGTTTTGACCATAAACAAAACTGCTCCCCTTTGGTTTCTGCTAGTGAATACGGTGGGAGCTGTGAAACCATAGAAAGCAAATGTGTAATGAATGGTCTCTCTTGATGTAACATATCATGTTTACGATTATTTGTACCCATGTCTGAAATATGTGTATGAATTTCCTACAGCAGTGCACACCAAATTACAAAGTTGGCATAAGGGATGTACAGTACTAAACACAGCCTGGCAACTCCATGTTATTGGCTGGCAATGTAGCCGGGTCGTGAAGCTGACAACTCACCTCCAAATAGTGCCGAGGTCAAGAAAATGTGGATCTATACATCCACTCCCCCATATGTCTTCAAGGCGTATTGCTTAATTAGTTAAGCACAAGGACAACTTTGCCTTTTTACCTGCTATCGGTTGAATAGCGCCCAGAAACAGAGCATATTTTTCTGCCCCCCATTTTGTACTGCAAGAAGTAATACAAAAATTGTACAGTTACAGTTTCTTGACATTCCATAGAACCTTCTTTGGGTTAAAATGGATGCAGAGAAACATATCGTAATACAAGGGCTTACTTCCTTGCAGTTATTACAATGTAAATTAACAGCATATTACGTATCTTACGTAAGACAAATTATTTTGGTGAAATTTAATATTAACCACGTGTATTTTTTACTTTACATAAGTCTGTGTATTTTTAATTTCGTACTATGTACCAGATTTTGTGATTGGTACAGATGAACGATCAATGTGAGTTCTACTCATAGATGGCAGTGAGTATCAACGCAGATGGCTCTTGTGCAGTTGTCTGGGCCTACTAGGGGGCACGAAAACACTACACCACAGTAATGAATTAATTTACTTCGGCCGTAGATTAAAATGTTTATTCTTGTGTGTATGTCGGCATAAACTTCAGCACTGGTCAGTATTTCGTCGTCCATAAGATTCTGTAAATTTTTTTCAAGTTTTAGTGTCAGTGATCCGTGATCTGTTGTATAACCCGGAGAACAGCAACTTCAATGGAAAGCAGTCTGAGTGGCATCCATTTTACTTATATTGGGAATAGAGTTTGAGCACGTGTGTTGAAAAGGAGGTAGTAATTGTTCACTGACTGATTAACATTTAAAGATTTTCGTGCTAGGATAGGTGGGAAATAACAATATAGTGTTGAACGGATTTGTAAGTGCAGGAAATTAAAATGAATCAAGAAAAGTTAAAGAAACTACAAGCACAGGTGCGGATTGGAGGGAAAGGAACACCACGTAGGAAGAAGAAGGTCGTTCATGCTACTGCAGCTACTGACGACAAGAAACTGCAAAGTTCTTTGAAAAAGCTCTCAGTAAATACAATCCCAGGAATTGAAGAGGTTAATATGATAAAGGATGATGGCACTGTAATCCATTTTAACAACCCAAAAGCCCAAGCCTCCCTAGCAGCAAATACATTTGCCATTACTGGTCATGGGGAGAACAAACAAATTACAGAAATGTTGCCAGGAATTTTGAGTCAGCTAGGACCAGAAGGATTAACACAACTGAAACGTCTTGCTTCTAGTGTGGCAAATAGTGCCACTGGTGGGAAAGCAAATATTGAAGAAGATGACGAGGTTCCAGAACTTGTGGAGAACTTCGATGAAGCCAGCAAGGAAGAAATCCCCGTTAATGTTGCAGAGAAAGACCACAAAGGGAAGGGCAAAGAAAATGATTTGGTATCAGCTGGTTCTGGTGAAGAGGCAAAAGGGGAAGGACTGAAGGAAGCTGTACCATCATCAGACTCAAAGGATAAACACAGCAACTAGAGAACCCTGTTTTCAACACCGTACGTACCATGAAGAGGTATGAATAGCATACATTGGAAGAAGTAATGAGCTAACTTTATGTTTCTGTGTCATGATTGTCACTGTAGAAATGCAGACAAAACAAATAGTTTAGACCACTTATCAATATAACCTCCGTCGAGTGTAACAAAGTATATTCTTGTCACTATTTTTTACATTTGCCTTACATGTTTCGGCTCACAAAGAGCCATCATCAGAGGCACCCACCACAAAAACATAAAACTACTTGCACTGCTCAGCAATCACAATATATAGTTTTTTGTGGAAGATGTTACACATATCAGAGCGTAAAACACAACAACATCCAGTATCCTGCGTGCAGGTGTCCCAATAGCTTTTAAAAAATCACCCAGCAAAGCGAGTCGTTAATTAAAATTAAATTTAAAACCGTCCAAGTAAAATATTCAGGTTCCTTTTAGTGGATAGTCCNTGTCCATTTTGAGTGTGTCCCTGTCTATTAGTTTGTTTTATATGAATACATAAACAGTCATGTGACAGCTCGTAGTTACCTAACCTCCAACATAGCAGTTGCTGTTCCTGTGCCACATACAGAAGGCCTGCCACAACTTCCTTAGGCTGTTATGGTTCCCCTTCCAGCTATATAATCATTTTGCTTGCGTGCATGTTGGTAGTGAAGATCATATGATAACTGTTCTAGTAACAAGCGCTTTTGGTTGCTTGATTTAGGCCACTGGTGCAGGGGGTTGAGGGGAATAGGAAAGTTGGCAGAGACTACAAAGTGTGCATTGTTGTCCATCTATGGAACATTTTTCTGTGACCTGGATGTAGTAACAATGACATGTTTGAGCCTAATGACAGTAGGATTTTGTAACTCAGAAGAATGTTACAGTTCATACTTTAAACTCCTTTGAGTCTCATCAAGGAGAATTACTGGACTTCCAGCAGCATTTGTTGGTGAATGTAAAATTAACAAACAGAAAACTGTGACTGCAAAATTTTATATTTTTTATGGAAGATTCATTGTTGGTCTTCTGAGTTATGATTTGATGTTGTAATCTTGAGGGTTTAGGTGCAAAACAGAAGTTCATCCCTAAACATGTGGCTGAATATTTCACCAGAATATTCATACCTGTGTACAAGGTTGCATGGTGTCACAACCGTGATGACTATGATAAAGATTATGACTGCTGCTATTTCTTGACTCCTTCCTACCTCTTAGGTAAGCCATGGGACTTCTGCATGCCCTCAGAATGTTTGTTTGTCTTATTAAATCTTGTAGACCGCAGACAGATTTTCCCAGTCTTGATGTGTGGATATGTCAGCTTAGATCACAAGTTAAGAGAAATATGTCAGTTGCATTTGTGAGATAACATGTAAAAATGGTTAGTGATGTTCACACTGTTGTCAGTGTGCTTTGTACATCTTGCAAGGCGCGCACGTTGCAGGATTATGCAGTGATGTCTACGTGAGGTCACTGGTTATCATGACAGATACGTTCTACATAATTTACCTTACCGTTCTTGAATATTGTGCTTTAGTGCTTTGAGTTCGGCTTATAAGCTAAGAGCTTTATACACTTCTTTATTGGAACATTAAAAGACTGGGTGCATTTTAGATGTACAAAAGATTATATTTAGCTACATATGATTAGTGATTTGTTGTTTTTGAAAAGAACAGTTTAATAATTTCTTCGCATTTTTTAATGTTTTATACGGATACTGTGCCCTGTTCTCTGTGATGAGGCCACAGAAAGAAATACGGGCGGTGAGGATGATGGCTTTTCCCGCTGCTTGCTGTTGTATTTTGCTCCTCCCCACTCTGGCCTATGACAGTCAGCCCAAAGCACTTAAAAGAGTTCAGAAGAATACTTTCATGTGGGTGGAATGGCTAGATGATTGGCGGGTAATACAGGCTGGGTGAGCTCTGGCAGGCCAGGAGTGTCGTGGGACATACTTATGTGGTGACATGTAGTGAGAAACACAGTTGTCCATTGCATGGAAACTGGAAACTGATGGGAGATTTTGATTCCAATGGGAGGAATGTTACCGTGGTGTGTAACCAGTTTTGTAGTTTAAGAACAAAGTGTTCTGGGTAGCAGTATTTTTAAATAAATGCCCATTTATTCTGCTCATAAACTTTTCACTTTTCAATAATAATGAACAAGTAAACAGGTGTGCTTCTGTGGTCCTTAGCGAGAAAATTAGACTTTGAAATTGTTTACATTCCATAGAACCTTTGCAGAACTGGGCTAAAAAAATGTAGGGCATGTTATGTTGCAAGTGCAACACTTGATAACAAGTGCAAGCATAAATAAATATGTACACAGTTATTAGATATATTTACAGACAACCTGCAAGTATATTATGTAATACAGAACAAAATAATTATGTCAAAGAAATATTCTCATCATAAATTTATAATACTTGTGAATGTAAATTCTTCTCTGAAGATGGAATGGGATAAGTTCAGATGAAGGTGTAAACACTTTTATATCATCAATTACACCTTCAGTTCTCTGCTTATCTGTTCACTAAGACACAGTAGTCTGTATATTTATTATTTGCTCTGCAACCAGAAACTCTACATTCTGCCCACACAGTGTATCTGTGTGTTCCATATGGTTCTCACAATAAACAGCGACTGTTTCCCTAAACAGCATTAACTGGTTGGGCTTTGTTATGGAGATGGAATGTGTTTCCTGTGAGGTATGGACTGGATTGCTATATGTTCTGCTCACACAGTGTATCTGTGTGTTCCGTATGGTTCTCACAATAAACAGCGACTGTTTCCCTAAACAGCATTAACCGGTTGGTCATTATCCTGGAAGTGCAGTGTGTTTTTTGGGAGGAGCACACAGTAGCGTAGTTGGTTTAGGAACTATGCTACAAGCCAGAAGGTCGTGGATTCAAGTCCCAGTGAGATGGAGTTTTCAATTGACCTAATCCTTCCAGCCAAACTGTGGCCCTGGGGTCAACTCAGGCCCTAACAGAAATTAGTACCAGGAATCTTCCTGAGGGGTAAAGGGCGGCCAGCGCATGAGGCTGGCAACCTTACTACCATCTGCAAGCTGATTGTCTAGAGAAAATGTGGGAGCCTCAACGTCTCACAACCCTATGGACCTTCATGGCCTGTTACAGGGATAGTTTTACCTCTTCTTACCTTTTACTGAATTTCTTATTATTATGCAGACAAACTTCAGGCATCAAAGGGTCATTCTTTCATTTTAAGGTACATCTCAGAATTCTTGTGACTGGATTGAGAACCAGTCAAAATTGTCAACATTTAGTTCATCGAAACTCCATGACATGGAAATGAAGTAGGAAAAAGGATTCATCTTTTTATTTTTATATGTGTGTTCACTTTAACCTCCACAATGCTGTGACATTAATGCAGAAATCATTTTGTCTGCTCTGTAGCCAGACACAACATTGAATAATATATTGGCATGTATTTTCCCCAGTTAATTGTATTGTGGTTTTTTGTTATGACTGTTTTAATGCTAGGTGCGTTAACTGACCAAAGCTGAGTGCACTGAAGTCACTTTTTAATGAATCTCTTCCCACGCATTGGCTTTTTTTAACACAAAATTAAAATTATGCAAAAAAAATTACACTAAGAAACAGTTCCAACTTATAAGGTTTCGGGTAATAAAGAAACTGTTTCTGTGCACATAAATACAGTTACACAGTACTATCAAAATTGTTTTGTAGACAAATGAAAGAACCTCAGTGAAGAATAGCAGGTGCCTATGATGCTACAAGTGGTATGCTGCTCAATTGTGATATGACTTGCCAATGATCATGATTATGTGGTAGCATTGGTGGTAGAGAGAGTGCATGAATATCGGTTGTCTTATTAAGAGTTTCACTAAATCAAAGTATGAATTTTTGAAGGCCAGAAGTGCTTGAAACTTAAATAAATTGAAGCTTCAGGTACGCCATCTAGTGTCAGTGGAGGCTTCTTTCTGTAGTCTCGGTATAGTTTTGGTCACTGGATCCCTGTCTTGAGGAAGATGAAGCCAGTCAAAACCTTTGTACCATATTTCTTTTGTAAGGTACTTCTTTATATTATTATCCTGTGGTCTGTGTTTAGGTCTCCCATATGCTCTTTTCCCTGTGGGAATATTTACTCAAATATGTGTGATCGTCCATCATCATCATTTTAGGCTGTCGTTAAGTCCCGTTCTTTGGAATAGATAAGTCTGTGAAGCATACCGTCTTCTGGGATGTGTTGCCATGTAGATCTTGTGTAAACCATCGTTTTGGAGGCACGTATCACCTCCATCTTCAGGGTAGAAAACAGTGAGCAAGGAACCAGTGTGAGCAGGTGGCTGCTGAAGATGGAGGCGATATGTTCCCCCAAAACATCAGTTTACACAAGATCTACACAGTGACATATCCCATAAGAGAGCATTTGTCATAATCACCGCCGTGAAAACCTGAAATCTTACACAGATAAGACTCTTCAGGTATTATTCCATGTTTTGTTTGGACCAAAATTATATCTTGGTCACAAATTTTGATAAGGACTTCTGTGTTACATTTCATTAAAGCCCGACTCAGTGCTCATGGTCTTGTTTCAGGTGATGTGACTCTGTACAGTGCAGTTAATCTCAAGGCTGCCTGCTAATCATTGAACTGTTCAGGCAGAAGTGACAAATGTTGGGAACTTCTCCTGTCTGTTCATGCCACGGAGATTGAGTGCTAGCATAATCGACAAGATTACACATTCAATTATAACAGGTTACAAATAAAAGATACAGAGATGATATCAGGTGCCAGAAATGTCACCTGTTATGCTCAAATTATTGGCTTTTCTGTACACTTATAATTGGAGTTCTTTTCTGTAAATAGAGTAAACTTGACACTTGAAATCCCAGTCCTCTTTGTAAGGTATGTGATGGATTTTGAAGGAGATTGTTCCAAACCAGCGCCTTGCACTGGGGGTTGGGGCGGTAGTAAAGAGTCAGTGCTAGGCTTGAACATTCTCCAGACAACCATACAGAAAATTCCCAGCATCTGTTTCAGCCTGTTTGTGTTTTATTTGTAATTTGTTAGGATGTCGGTTCCTTGATTACATCTGATGTTCCTGCCATATAGTTATGCAGCTGAGTGTTTTGCAGGTAGTTTTTTAAGGTGGCCACACTGTATAGTGGCACATAGCATTGAAAATAAAATGTAGACATATACTTGTAAAATTAGTCTCTTGTATCTTTAGTAGTAGGTTCTTGCAGTCATTTGAATCTTAGCAAGATTATTACATGTAAGATTTGAGGCTTTCACGGCGGTGACTATGAAGAAAGCAGTCTTCTGGGATTTGACACCGTGTATATGTGGTGTTAACCAACGTATTGCCTCCAGTCTGCTTTTACCGGTTCTCACGGTCTCTTCACTTGCAGATTTTTTCTATTTTTCCTTCTACCCTGAAGATGGAGGCGATACGTTCCTCCGAAACGTCGGTTAACACCACATATACACAGTGTCAAATCCCAGAAGACTGCTTTCTTCAAGATTATTACATGTCACAATTGGTTTTAAGTACCATGAAATTGACGATGACTCTCCATCCCAAACCCTTATCAACTTGCTGTTCATCATCTCGTTCAGTGGTACACAATTTATATTGCATTTATTAGCCTCTGCAGTGGCACTTCAGAAAAACTTTTGTGTTACAGTGTTTGTTATATCCCATTATGTTTTTCTGGGCTGCTGACAACTTTTGACATGATTCTTAAGTTTCTCAGAAGATGGCAGCAATGTATGGAATTATTTGTCATGACTTTCTGGATTCAGCAGTGATGTGTGTTGTGTGTTAAGGAACACAGAATGGTGTTTTGAGTCACCAGTGAAGGGGCATATAGCCTACAGGTAGAGCTGAAGGCTGGAAATTGAATTGACGATAAACATGCCTCCTTATATAAAAGATGACATACAAGTAATTTTGTGATTGTTGGTGGGATAATTTGAATTACCTTACTGTAATCTAATTTATTTTGTTATTATTTTCCAGTAGCTGTAGCCGAGAATCTCCCCAGCCTTTGTCCTCGTGGACTGTCTCGATGTCATGCTGCAACACCTTGAGATCAGATTGCTGTATGTGAATTTCCTAGAATTCAAACACAAATAAAGTTGGATGGTTTGAGCTCATCTGAAATGTATCTTAGGTTACATATGTTAACAAATATTTTCCTCTTTTTTTAAATAAAAATTTATGTCTTTGTACAAGGCACCTATTGTTTTATGGTATTTATACATTTGTTAAATGGATTTTTCTAAATAGCACTCCTGTTAAGTAAACTTGCTTGTTATGTGTCATGCAAACTTCAAGGAAGAAGTATCCAACGCTTCTGCCAGGGTGGACGTTCAACAAAAACACTTTGCTGTATTTTCTTGTTCTTTTTCTTTGGGGGGGGCTGTTCTGAACATAATAGCCTTTTGCAGAGCAGTTGGCATAAGTTGTGCCAAGTTTGAATTTTTCTTATTTGTTGATCAGTCAGAATAAAAATTTAAAGTAGAATTGTTTTATTCTGTATAAAATATTGTAACACCTTTACACTTCTCTCATATAAGGTTGCCAACCTTCTCACTTTCCCAATATTATTACCTATTCTCATGTTTCTCCCAGTAACAGTGTGTGAGCATTGTGTTCTGTGCTGAGTTATTTTGGCCAGTTTAGAATAAAGACCTGTCAAAGATGTGTATTTTTGTCTATAACCTCTCCTAACCTAGCCTAACTTGTCAAAGGACATCTAGATCTGTAAGACAGTACGTATGGGCTGTTTCTGTTTGCAGCAGAGAGACATTTAACCAAGGAAATTACCATTTCGTGGGATGTGATGCCATACAGAATTACTGACATGTCAGAGGGATATGCTGCCTCCATCTTCAGGATAGAAAAAGCAGATCAGGATTTGAGACTACCACTAGCAAGTGGTTTACTGTAGTAGGACACCATTTCATCCTGTCACGTGAAGGGGGGAAACCGAAGCAGGACTTCAGATTAGCTCTTTCAAGAGGCCCCAGTGCAGTACTATTTGATGTCATTTTTTGCATTTAATTTTCACAAACTGCATACAGATGTACCTAATTCGCTGTTTGTATCTGTTAGGGGAAGTTGTGTCATGTGTAATTTACTTACAGAGCACAGATATTAGCTCCAACATTAGCTGAGTACAATATTATTTCTAACTGAAAACCGTCATAACACCTTCAGCGCTAAGACCTTCCGTTATACCTGCAAGATATTGTTGCCCCCTCTGGGGTCGTGAACGGACAGTTGCATTGTGGCTGAGATACAGAGTGCGAAATGTGTTCTGTGCATTCATAGTGAAGTCGAATACTGTAGTTTAATTTCAGCCTATATACACGTACATTAAGCAGATAACAAAAAAGTTATGTACATCGAATTTTACTATATCTTCTTAACACGTTACTATGCAGTAAAAGTATTGGCTCCTGAATGAGTTTGGGCATAACTCATACGTATACTCTTTTTTGCTGTTGTTCACTTAGGTATAATTTTAATTCCTCTATTATGGTTTTACTCAAGTCTGTCTGGTAATTACTACATATACAAATAAATATTTAGGACTGTGCATGCGCTTCTACTAGTGGCATGTGCGCGCGCTTCCACTAGCAGAGTTGAAATTCCTGACTGGCCAAAATGGGGTACTTTGGTCACAAAGACCATACTCATTACTGGCCCGATCGGGGCACTTCGAACGTTAAAGGTTAAGAGAAAGTAGACTGGCCAACCGTCAGTCATAAAATTACTTTGAAATGAAGAAAGTAATAAAGAGGAATTTTGTAAAGGGAAGACTCCCAGGGGAATAGAATAGTAGATCAGAGGAAAGTGCTGAAAATTTGGGAAAATTATATTACAGAACTATATGATCGACCTAATCGGCCAGAAACCTTAGAAGTTGAACCGGAAGAAGAAGTAGATACAGACAGGAAAGGACCATATATTTTACAAAGTGAGGTGGAAAAAGCTATCAAGGAAATGAAGGGAAAGGCTACAGGAGATGATGATGTACCTGGAGATGTGCTTAAGATGCTGGGAGAAGGTGGTTTGAAAACACTGACAAAACTAATAAACACCATATATGAAACTGAGGAGTGGCCCAAGGACTTTACAGAAGTGACAATGATTGCCTTAAAGAAAAAGACAAAAGCTACAAAATGCAGCGACCATCGCACAATAAGTCTTATTGCACATACAGCAAAGATA